GGTTGTGGAAGCATCACAGTCTGTTTTCGAGGTTTTACCTTTGAAACAAGATGACATAATGTTTATAAATCAGTGTGAGCTATAACTAACTAATCCTCTCTCTTTCCTATAATTTTTATTCCTGTTATTAACCAAGTGTCTTGCAAAACCGTGAAATATTATTTGGAAATAAATTTAAAATACTACTCTGTGAAAGCCAGAAGAAAAAATGATGGAAAATTTAGTAAATGCTTCATGAAAATCTAACAAAGAAGATAGATATTACCTAGGTTTTTAATATATCTTAGGGAAGACCTAAAACATGATTACTGGCCTGACATAGAAGAAAACTCATTTGAATTTAATACTCCATAACTTAAAGACTAAGAGTTGTAGTCTTGATTGACATGGGCATGCATAGTGTATGATGGAAGGGTAGAAAGGGGGTTTGCATTTCAGTTTTTTACCTATGATTTTAACATTCAAATATTCATTTTCACATGTAAGAATTCATTATGTAACTGTAATTTTATATTTAATAGTTATCATATGGTAACTGAAGGAAATATATGCAAAAATTTTAAACATTTTTCAAAATGAAATGGCAATCAGAAATTTATATAGGAACAAGACATCGCAAATACTTCATACATTCAAAATAGGTAACAAGCATTCCACATTAGCTTCTTGGTATACTTCATCTTTGATCACTAATTGCATGTGTGAATGCTCACAATTACATATACATTGTCAGCTGTCCACATGGTTAAGTTTTGTTTCTGAATCATAACAAACTCGTCTCTACTCTATCACTCACATTTCCTATGATGGATTCTGGTCAAAATGCTCGTGGTATTGATGGCCTCAGAAAAGTAACCATAAAAAACTTCAAACAACACTGTGCTTCAAAACATATAAAATAAGAGATTAGCAGTACAGTAACAAATTAGGGTATACATATGAAATAAAGTAAGCTGTGAGATGCAAGCAATTGGACATAGCCAAGCCATTAACAGGCCTGCTCTTGATGATGAAATGCACGGAGGAATAGTTTTGAGATATGTGAAATATTTGCATACTAAAATGTGTTTTAAATAGAAAGATGAATAAATGCTTTCAGATTTTGCTGTCAGTGAACCAGAAAATAAGATAGTATTTTAAATTCATTTTCTCCATTATTTGTGTGGATGATTGAAGCTTTTGAATATTAAAATGTTCAAGACTATTTTAGAGTTATAAATAAAAGCCTGGTATATAGTTTAATTTTAAAATTTAAAGTAGAAATAAGGTTCATTCACAATGACACACAAATAAATACATGTATATAACACAGATTTGCTACAATGATTTATGTATTTGTATTTTAAAATCAGTTTCTGAGTTAAAATTGTATTGATCTTAACAGTGACATGGAGTACTATCTTGGAATTAATCTTAGATTTCAGTCTTGTGTGTGTGTGTGTGTGTGTGTGTGTGTGTGTGTAGAGGGTGGTTAAGAAAGCATGGGAAAAAACAAACATGTGAGGGAATGAGATAGGAAGTATGTTCAAAGCATTTGCTTTATTTGTTTATACAGCTTTACTAACCATGAAAACATTCTATTTGGTTTTTTCCTACATTGATATGGAAACAGGATCCAAAAGAATTCAGAGACACAATCAAGGATAATTGGCAGTCAATAGAATGGAAGCTGATGTCCTTACTTAGAAATCCCTTGGCCTCACCTAGTAGCAATGGCCTGAAATCAGTGCTTTAATTTTAACTCCCATTTTTATTCTTTTCTGAGCCCTATATGGTGAGCAGCCTTTTTAAGATGTGCAATGACACTGGAGATTTGACAAATTGTCTTTTAGTTTGTAACATCTCATCATTCACAAAGATCTACCAGAGTCTGTTGTTCAGATCTCCAAACTCAGCTTTTTTTCACTGCATTTTCATGCAGTCTTTTGATGGGAAGCCTTTTTAACCACAATGATTAAACAATTCAAATGACAAATCTTGTACTCGCCTCTTCTGCTTTTCACTTCACCTATTCTTTCTCAGGAATTATATCCTCAAAAAGAATGGAAACTCTTCCATCTTGGGCTACCAAGGTAACTCGGTGAGTAAATGTGCTTGTGCCCTGTCTCACAGGACTCACAGAGCAGAAGGACAACATACTCCTTCAATTTGTCCTTTGACCCCACTACACATTCTGTGGCATTTAATTTAAGACTGAGATTAATACTAAGACTATGACAATAATTATATTATTATTTATAAATCATATATCATTACATAATGTATCATCCGTGTCACTGCATTATTATATGACTTATTATATAATATGCTATTATAGTACTATATAATTTCATAATATATAATGAAAATAATTTAAAGAGAGACAACTATACTATCTAGTTTCTCTACTATCAGTCCTCCTCCCCTGCCTCCCACTGTCATATCAGACTAGATCTACTCTGAACAACCCAAGGCTGGAAAGACCTCACTCAAGCTTTTAGTGTTTAAAGTACCAACATCACTCTTTTCAAACACACTCCACACAGGCCTCAGACTATGACTTTGCTCAGCACTCTGTTTCCTGGACCATCTTTTCTCTTTCCACTGTTTTATTACTATCACTTCTTTACCTTATAAAATCCAACCCTCTTATGGGTCAGCTCCAAATGTTGGTTCCTTTATAACCTGTTCTTGCATTTCTCATTAGAAATCATCTCCTTTTGAGTGACTTCCCTCTCCTTCAGCATTTCTGATTAGACCTTTATTATTTATTCATATCACTTCCTCTCTTTTTGCTTAGATGAGGTAATAATCTCAGCCAAGAACCATAGTCCATCCCTGATGCAGCTCGGAGCTGCTTCTTCGGGGCCTATTATGGAGTCTGGGTCAGAACTGCTTGGATGAACAGGCAGTAGAACAGTCAAGCTAGGTGTTTATTTGGAAAACTTTAATGAGAATCTGTTTTCAATGTGAGATATGGGTCGTCATCTGAATGATCTTGGTGAGACCTTTGATTTAAGCGTGGTACATAAATTTATATATCAACCTTACCATTATAAATAGTATATAAGTAGACAAAAAGAGTGTCTTTCAATTAGTGATTTTATATAGAGGATAGGTATCATTGTAGATACTTTCATTTTATTGAGGTATTTTTTTAAATGGTCTTTGCATCCCTAAGTGTGATAGAGCCATCTTCTTGAGTAGGGCACAGTGCACTATATTAAGCTAGATCTTAAATAGACACCCACCTAATCATGGACATGAATTTATAGTCTAAATGAAGCAAGGGTCTATATTTTTTGCAATGTGTAGATATTATATATTGTGTGCATTATTAAGAGCAAATGCAACCTTGGTATCACCTTAGTCCATGTCTAGGTATCACCCTAGTCTATATATATTAGAAGGCATATCTAACACCTCTATTCTAAAGTCTCCACGTTTCTGCATCCTTTAATGAGAGACAACATCATGCCATTCATGGTTTAGTGACTTCATCCTTTATTGCCACCTTTCTATGTTTCATTCAGTCCCTAATTACAGTTAATTAAAGGAAAGGCTCTCTCTAAAAGCACATACATGGTGAGCTCAAAAAGGCAGATTTTTATATATGCTTTATTTAAGTACAATTTTTTCCTCTCCCACACAAAATTTTAGTATGTTCATGATTGGAGCCTTCTTTCTCTTGTTTTTTCAAGACAGGGTTTCTCTGTGTAGTTTTTTTAGTCTGTCCTAGAACTCACTCAGTAGGTAGACCAGGCTTGCCTCAAACTCACAACGAACTGGAGTCTTTTGTTTTTAACTAAAATATTTCCCATTTGTCTCTGTAGTTGTGGCACAAAACACCCCGGTCTAGACTAGGAAGCATTGAATCCCCCAAGTTCTCCCACAAGTGACTTCAATACTCTTTCAGGAAAATATACTCAGAGAATGCAGTCTACACTACAGGTACAAATGCCTATATGCATCTTGTTAAAATTAATTATGTATATCTTTGAGCACCAATGATTCAAAGAGATGTTATATAACATTGTTGTAATTTATTTTCCTGATCTGCATTTTACTTTATAAACATGTCATTAATTTCACTCAAATGTGATTATTTTTCTATTTCAAAAATGATCCTCTGCCCAGTTCATCCTTTGTGTGTCACTCACTGTGACCCTCCAGGAGATATTCTTTCTTCTTGTAAACCCATAAAGGTTATTACATCCTCCAAAAATATCTTAAGTAATTTCATTATACCATTTAAGTCTGTAGGTGAAATTTCACTTGTTTTTATTTTTACAGTTCTATTATTTTTGTTTACTTTCATTAATCCTCCTACACCCTTTCTATACCATATATAACTTACAGAGACAGTCTTGGGTATTTAATTAATTTTCTCAGCTGCACATCATGAGGAGCACATTTGTAACGTTTGGGACCTACCATGAAACCTGGCCCATTCCTTCTTCCGATAAAGTCTAGTACTAGACACTAGAATTTTACATTTACAGAGGAATCAAAAATTTGAAAAAGTCAAACTGGATGTCAGTGTTTAAGATTCTCAAATTTATCTGTTAATATAGGAGACATTGATTGAAAAGATAAACAAATTTAAGGTAAAGAACATGTTGCTTATTGAATATACCCATGCATACTAATTAAATATAATAAAAGGAAATGTAAAAGATGCCAACAACTCTGTTTTGGGTCTTTTCATGCTATCTCTATTCCATTTTTTCCATTTCATGGATATAGTTTTACCATATTAACAAGAAGTCAGTTAGAGCAAAAAAAAAATCCTGTGGTGATTCTAACCTGAAAATTATAATTATACTCTATTATTTCTGCTGAAAACTTTTCCTAATAGCTCTGCTCCTCATTAAGTTTTATTTAATCTCATGCATTTGTGCTGTAAAACAATCATTTCCTTAATACATCTCATCTATCTTGTAAGACGAGATACATTAAAAATAAAAACTATAATGAATCTGTAAATTTCTTCTTAGGTAAATGCATAGAAAACAACTCACCTCCAGTAGCCACAGTGATTTCACGTAGGAAATGACCATAAAATGGAAAATCGAAGGACAGATTCACTCTCTGCAAGGAACAACATCAAAAAAGAAAAAAATCAATAATGTGCAGAATGGTAAATGTAAAATAGAGAGCTTTTCAATTACAGCTAATGATGTTTCTCCTTTACCCAATGGTATTGTAGTTGACCTTAAAAACAAAGTGTGGGATAGGACTAAAAATCATTTTTTTTTTGCAATTAAGTGTTTGAAGCATATGAAACAAATAAAGTTAGGTTATTATAGTCTATTGACCCCTTTCTGTTTTTACAAAGATTATGTGGAAATTTAAATTGTAAATCATGCTATGTTCTCTGAGTCCTTACCACAGTTCTTTCATCATTTACCAAGATCATTCCATCATTTGATGAATAAGTTATTTGGAGGTAGTTTGTCATTTTAGCATTTGATTAAAAAACAGAATGAAAACCAAAGATACTGCTTTTTACACTATTATAGTTTTGTTTATTGTCTTTCTGTATTTCCTATAATAAAAATGATTGATGGGAGATGATGTCATGGATCTATAGATGCAGACTTGAAGACATCCTCATGTTTATTTATTGTAGTGAGCTACCCAGACAAAGCATATTGTGTCCAATAAAAAAACATAGTTGCAGGATAAACGGTAGCTACTGGAGAGTTACTTTGATTTGATATAGGGGGAAATGGATAGATTTAAGCAGAAAATGTCAAAGTCTTACACTTTTGCCTTCCTAAGGGAGCCCAGAGCATCAATTCTTAATATATAAGAGATTTCAAGTGTATATTTGGTTTAGCACTAGTGTATACAAAACTAATAAAATGCAACAGAATAGCTTTTTTGTATGCCTAAAGCATTACAAGACAAGACACAAGAACATTCTACACACAACAAAGACAATAGTATCTATCATCTATCTGTCTGTCTGTCTGTCTGTCTATCTGTCTGTCTATCATCTGACACCTATCTATCTGTGTCTTTCATCTATCTATCTCACATCTGTCTATCTATCTATCTATCTATCTATCTATCTATCTATCTATCCACCTATCATGCATCTATGTACACATATGTATATGCATATCTGTGCATTCAATGGGAATTTAATTAGCTGGGTTAAAGCTCAATATCATGTGCAAACTTTCTATAGTAAACGCTATTATGTTAAAATCCGACCATTTCTGCATTCCATTTTTCTGAATCTACGAATTAAGATGTAAAACAGTGTATCTATTAGAATTCCGTTCTCTCCAATTTTGCAAATGATTGCCTTTTCATATCCTTTGGAGATTTCTAATGACTTATTTGGCACAGAGTTAATCATTCAGAATCTACATTTGACTTTCAATTCGTTTTTCTTTCCTTTTCCTTGAAACCCACATCTTCCGAAAAAGTTTTTCATCACATTTATTTCATTTTAACAGTGAAATAAAAATGTTTTTACTGTGACACTTGGCATGAGTGGTCACTGATAACACCAAAGTGAAAGCAATGATATTGAACAGATGTGTTGGAAAGATGTGAACAATAATCTGATGAAGGCAGGTGTCACTGTGGACAGAACCCTGCCAATCTCATGTCCTCCCATGCTAGTTAGTAAAGTTACATTCTCACTACCAAGTTGCTTTAAATATTTGTCACTAACAAACCCAGTTTTCTCCAAGGATGAATGAGAATCACATAGTCTATGTTTTCTCAGACACTGCGGGGATTTAAATGTTTTGAGTTAGACTGCAGTGCACAAATAACATACAAGCTGAAGCGAATGAAATATGTGCTAAAAAAGAAAACCTAAGAATCCATTATCCTCAGGAATCATATCCATGATTGAATCGCCTACTTATCTAACTATTACCGTGGCATTCTCTACCCTGTACAATAGTCATGTAGATAGCTCTTAGCAGGTGCTGTCATTTGAAGGGCTGTTAAATGTATACATTCCTCTTGAGTCACTGCTGATAATTCCCCCAACACACACACACACACACACACACACACACACACACACACACACACACACGGCAATTTCTACTCAGATCCTTGGCTCCAATACCCCTGAAGCTATTGCCAAGCATCACTATATTACCTCGTTTCAAAATCTTTGGGTCTACAGTCTTTGGTCCCTGAGAATAACAGGAGTTCACTAAGAATTGCATTTCAGACCTAGCCAAAAGTGTTACTGGACAACTCTGTACTGTATAGTCCTTCTGATGTCAGTCACAGACTGCAGCTTCTGGTTCTTTAAAACTAATACTCTTAACTTTGGCTCCTGTTCGACATGACAAATGAACATTCATTAGTCTTGGTTTCTATATTTTTTAAGTGTTATTCTAGTTTGAGTTGTGACCTCAAATCAGCCCCTATCTCATGATTAAGGGAAAATCTTAACAAAAACAAAACAAAACATACAAACTTTATTGAACGAGAGTGTATATACATGCCCATATGTATGTGTGATGTGGACATGGGCTATGGGGTATGCATGCATGATTCACGGGCATGCTCCAGTATGAGGGCAGGAATACACAGGAAGGGTCAGAGGTGTGTGTAGAAGGTTCTCATTTTCTGCTTTGTTAGAGGTGGGGCCTCATTTTTTTTTATTGTTCACTTTCATACATGAGAGACTAGCTGGCCAGAGTGTTCAGGGATTCTCCAGACTCTGCCTTCCAACTTGCACCAGGATTGCAGATTACAGCGGCTTTGTGTGGGCTTGGGGATTTGATTTCACAGTCAGATGACTCTGCAGCAAGAATTTTATGCACTAAGCTATTTCCCCAGCCTAGATATAACCTTTGTGTGGAGGGTGATCTTGGAAGACACATGTTGATAGATATAGGAATATTGTAGAAAAAGTAGTATAAGCCAGGGGACATGTGATATGTCACTGGGCAAGGTGCCTGCTGTACAAGCATAAAGAACTGAGTTTGGATATTGAGTACCCCATAGCAAGCTGGGCATGGTGGGCATAATGGCTATAATCCCAGGGCTAGGGCCTGGAAAAGTGTATTCTGGGAGACTTACAGGCCAGATGGTCCAATCCCAAACAGTGAGTTGCAGGTTCAGTAAGACACCCTGTCTCAGAAGATAAGGTAGAGAGCAGCAATTGAGGAAAACAGACTGATGTTAACAGCTGCATCCAAATGCACCTATACCGGTGAATACACCCACACATACACATATGCACACATGCATATGTAGTCATATGTAACACAATACACATGTCAAAGACAAAAACCAAGAATGAATGGGTATTACACTGGATACACTACCATTCTAGTCCACAAACACAAAAGAACATACAATCTAATTCATGAAGCACAAGATATCTGAACATTATCTGTCAGTAAGCTCTTTGAAACACTGGGGAACATGCCTGAATATTACTGGAGGGTATGAAGCAGGCAATTCTTACAGCAGCTCAGCTCATTCTCTGTATTAACTCAGGTTGCTCAACTCTGCTCAAACTTGGCCACACCTCAGATAGAAATAAGAGCTATCACTCAAGCTGGGAAGTTACTCATAGGCCTGAAACAGCTTCCCATCCATGGCCAGTACAGAATCAACAGGGGCCACTAAGGGGGGTTTCAGTGTTCAAGCATTGCTTCTTAGCTCAGGTTTGTCTTCCCAGAATAAGTCACTTATCTGTCTCAATATCTTCATGAACAAACTGAATGGCTTTAAACAATCTTATTTTACAACTACTTCAGTGTGAAAACTACTCAGAGTCAGAGTGGTTAAGTATGGCTCAAATAGGAACCTAAAACTTTGAACCTAGGTTTGTTTGATTACAAAGGCAGTGATCTCCAATACTGAGACATTAAAAGCAAAGTGTTAGTACTATAAAGACAAAATTAGGAAAATCGTTACTTCCCCACCTAAATGTGTGTATTATGGTAAAGTATCAATACAAACAAGCACTCAAATTGTATTAAGTGCCTTCAAATCAAATGATTATATTTTCAACATATTTACTCATAACTAATTAGATTATTATTTTTCTCAGAATGATACATATAAAAGAGGTGTCAGACAAGGATAAGGAGAAGTTTTAATTGTTTATGTTTTCATTTTTCATTCATCACCTTGTATCTAACAGGCAGGTAGGACAGTGAGTAAGATTCCAAGTCTCCTTAGTAATGAGGAGATTATCACTGAATGATACATTAAAGAACCATGTGGAGGCAGAGCATCATGAAGAAGTGGCATTTAAGCCCAAGTTCAGGGAACCAAATTTGACTTTTTAACAGGAAATACATGAAGACCTTCAGCCAAGACCCAAAACATTGAAACTGCTGTAGGAAAACATATGAGAAACCTTTTAAGAAATGTAATAACTTTCCAAATAGAACTTTCATTGACCCAAATATAATAGCAAGAACTGACTAACAGGACTGCACCATACTAAAAATCTCTGTACAGGAGAAAACACAATGACCCCAGTGAAGAAGAGATGACCTGTAGAGTAGAAGAAAATCCTTGACAGTGATTCATCCTACTGATAATTACTATCCAGAATGTATGAAGACCTCAAACATTAAAAATCTTAAGAGCAAATAATCCAATTAAGAAATAGGTAAATGAACTGAGAAGACACTTTTCATATAAAGAATACATATATAGGATATAGAATACAAAGAGTACAATCCAACATTTTAGGGAAATACAACTAAAGCCTACTGATATTCGATTTCATACCAGTCCAAATGGTTGTCATCTAGAAACATGAATAATGAAAAAAAAATGTTGGTGAGGATGTGGTAAAAAAAGATCTATGTGGTCTAGCTATATCGCTCCTGGGTTTGTACATAAAGGAATCTAAAGGCAACAACCCATAGAGTTCCTCATATACCTAAGTTTATTACAGACCATTCTGATGAGCCTAGTAGCTAGCAGTGAATAAATGGACAAAAAAAATGTTTCATCCGTACACAATGGAGGGCTATTGAGTTATTAAGAAGAACTCAATCACATTATATGCAGGAAAATGGATGGAACTAGGGGTTATTATGTGAGTAAAAAGCTAGACTCAGAAAGGCAGATATATG